TCTGCGCGAGGCGCTCGCGACAGTCTATGACATCATCGTCGCAAGTAAACTGCAGCAGGGCACACGCATGTGCGTGCCTACTACATACTTTGGAATGCCTGTTTGAACATTTTTTTGTTGTTTTGTATGTGCCATATTTTAACCGCGACCACGTCGGAAGTGTTCGTTATGTAGCATTGATAAATGCACAAGCAGAAGCGCCAGTGAAAGAAGAGAAGGAAGTGTAGTTGCTGCTCGCGCTAGCTCCACTGGACAGCTGCTCGGCTTTACCTCTGTGTTTCCCCCAATAAACGTGTCTTCGGCTCACTGCTAAAGGTGCACTAACAAATGGTGGAGAGTGCTGGATTCATTTCCCATCCTGGAACTCCACAACCGAACTACAGTTAAACCTCGTTATAACGAAATTGGAGGGCCGCCGCTATTGGCTCGTTATAACCAATATTTCGTTATAGCCGTAGCGGGCATTTACCGCAAATATTATGCACTGCACTTACCCCAAAAAAAAATAGCGGGCGAAATAGCATCCCGCCGCACGGTGGTATGCAACAAAATAACCGCATTTCCAAATGAAAAGGAAAAAAATCTAGCACCTGTTTTAATGCACTTCAAAATACACAGCTTGCATTTCAGGCAGACTTAGCTGCAAAGAAGTCCGTAATTGGACGTTGATGCATCTTCCTGATGCGAACGATGGCTCTCTCAGCTGCGGCCGCAATGTTCAAGCCATCTTCGCCGCCCTCGTGAGCGCCGAAGTAGCAACGCTGTACGTCCACCGCGTCTAATGCCTCCGACGCCGTCGGCATGTTTGTCTCCTGTTCCACGTTGCCTTTCTTGGTCCCCGATTCGACGGCTTTATCATAGCCGCCTTCTGATCTAGCATTATGCGCTTTTGCTTCCCGCCTGGCGCATTCATGTTGCTAGAATCACGAGGGCAGCACGATAAAAGAAAAGGCGGAAGCGGTCGAAAAAGAGAAGAAACGCGCACGCAAAAGCAACGCGGCTCACGTCGGCGAGCGACAACACTTGCAGAGAAAGTGACTGTGAAGAGGAAGGGGCGCTCTTTTGCGCTGCCCTCTAGGAACCGGTTACTCAAGGGAAAGAAGGTATGTAAGATTAGGAAGCGCGCCTCAGCGCCATAAGAAAGGGGAGAGGGAGAATATAAAGAAGACACAAAAGAAAAGAAAAGGGCGAGACGTTCGCAGAGCGCTCCGCTGTCGGTGGTAGCCACGCGGCGTACGTGCAGCGAACTCTCCTCCGGAAACAGCGCGTGCCGTCTGCTTTGCGTGCGTTGCTGGAGGGCGCGTGACGGGAGTTTTGAACAGCTAAATACAGTTCTCGCGTTGCGCGCCGTCTCAAATTCGCGTTGTGCACTGTCGTGACATCGGCTCAAAATTTTACTTCCTAACAAAACTTGTTCGTTATATCCCATAACAGGCAAATTTTGCTTCGTTAAAATGAGGTTTTAAATACATTGGTTTGTATGGGGACTTTCAAGTGGAATTAGGATTTGCTCGTTATATCCATTATTTCGTTATAGCCTGTCTCGTTATAACGAGGTTTAACTGTATACCGTCGCCGTCAACGATGTTCATCGTATAGACACCGGCACCCACGCACCATACCGGGTCCATACAGCGCCCATACCGGGTCTCTCACGCTGAACGCCAAGTTATGGACGATCAAGTGTCTGATATGGTCAATCGTGGCGTCATACAGCCGTCCAACAGTCCGTGGGCCTCCCCAGTGGTACTGGTCAAAAAGAAGGACGGGAGCATCCGATTCTGTGTTGATTACAGGCGCCTTAACAAGATCACGTGCAAAGATGTTTATCCGCTCCCCAAAATTGACGGCGCTCTCGACTGTTTGCAAGGAGCAGAGTTTTTTCCTCGCTAGATCTTCGATCAGAATACTGGCAAGTACTTATGGATCAATCTGACCGCGCCAAGATTGCGTTTGTAACTACAGACAGCTTGTAAGAGTTTAACATGATGCCGTTCAGTCTTTGCAACACCCCTGCCATCTTCGAGCGTCTGATTGACAACATACTTCGAGGCCTCAAATGGCAGAAGTGTCTTTGTTATCTGGACGACGTCGTCGTTTTTTCAAAAGACTTTGATACCCATCTTCTGCGCCTCGCAAGTGTGCTGGAATGTCTCACACATGCTGGGCTCTAACTAAATTTGAAAAAGTCCCATTTTGCCGCCTGGAAGCTCACCATCTTAGGGCATGTGTCAGCAAGGATGGTGTTCTACCTGACACTGCGAAACTCCGTGCTGTCGGCCAGTTTCCTAAGCCATCGACACTCAAGAAACTCCGAAGCTTTATCGGCGTATGTTAATACTTTCGTCGATTCTTCTGTAATTTCGCACCCATAATGGCCCCTTTAACATGGCTACTTTTCTGACAGTGAAGAAATTTTGGCATGGTCTTCTGCTAGCGATGACGCATTTGCGAAACTACGTCATTTGCAGACATATCCACCGATTCTTCGTCACTTTGATCCAGATGCCCCTACCAAAACCCACACTGACGCTAGTGGAGTCGGCCTTGGCGCTATTCTCGCTCAATGCAAGTGTGGCTTCGACGAGTACGTGGTTTCTTATGCCACTCGCACTCTTACTAGGGCTGAAGAGAATTATTCGGTCACAGAAAAGGAATGTCTGGCCATCATTTGGGCAATCACAAAATTTCGACCCTACGTCTATGGCCGTCCATTTGATGTTGTGACTGATCACCACACCCTCTGCTGGTTAGCGTCACGAAGACCCCTCTGGTGGTCTGGCTCGTTGGGCATTGCGTCTCCAAGACTATGATATCCGGGCCGTCTACACGTCCCGCCGCAAATATTCAGATGCCGACGCTCTGTCCTGCTCTCCACTTCCCCATGAACATGGAAGTGCGTCTGTTTCCAGTCTCAATGCTACGGCACTTTGGTTCACTGACATGCCCTCCGAGCAGCGCCAAGACGCTTGGATAGTCTCTATGATAGAGGTACTGTCTCAGCCCCGCCGAGGTACCACCAATCGTTCAGTGCGACGTACAGCTCGACATTTCGCCATCCGCGATGGGCTCCTGTATCATTGCAACTACCTTTCCCGACTGCCGCAAGTGGTTGCTTGCAATCCCTTGCCACCAACATGTTGCTATCTGCGACTCCTTTCAGGCGGATCCTCAATGCGGCCACGCCGGTGTGATAAAAACGTATGCCCGCATCCGGCTGCGGTACTATTGGCACGGAATGTACCGATTTATCCCACAGTACGTACGTTCGTGTTCCAAATGTCAACACCGAAAAAGCCAACTGAACACAGCCAATGGACAACTGCAGTTGTTGCCTTGCTTATTCCGACCTTTTTACCACATCGGAATTGACTTGTACGGTCCCCTTCCCTACACTCCTGACGAGAACCGCTGGGTGTTGGTCGCTATCGATCACTTGACACGCTATGCTGAAACTCCTGCACTGCCAGAGGCCACATCACGTGAGGTTGACTTGTTTATCCTTCACAATCTTGTTCTTCACCATGGCGCGCCTCGTGAGCTACTCTGCGACCGCGGACGTCCATTTCTTTCGGAAGCCGTACAAGCCCTACTTTGTGAATGCAACCTTGTGCATCGGACAACCAGAGCGTACCATCCGCAAACGAATGGAATGACCGAACGGTTTAACCGCACACTGGGCGACATGGTGTCTATGTACGTGTCCGCTGACCACACCACCTAGGAACGCATACTCCCCTTTGTTACGCTTACAATAGCGCCACCCAGTCTACAACAGGATTCTCTCCGTTCTTCCTCCTCTACGGGCGCGAACCTTCCTCATTCATGGACACCATTCTCTTGTACCACCTGGACGCTTCAGAGTCCACAACTCTATCCGAAGTTGCCACCTATGCGGAAGATTCCAGGTGACTCGCACGTTTCTTGACCGCGTGATATCAAGCGTACCAGAAGGACCGTCGCGATGAAAAGCTGCCTCCTTGGTCATATCCGCCTGGCACGTTGGTATGGCTTCGCGTTCCCTCATCTGCTCCTGGTCTTTCCATGAAGGTACTGCTGAAGTACGAAGGCCCCTACTGAGTCCTACGTCAGTCCTCACCGGTTAACTCCGCTTGACAGCTGGTCGGCTTTACCTTTACGTTTTCCCCAATAAACGTGACTTCGGCTCACTGCTAAAGGTGCACTAACAGTTATAAAAGTCGGAGGGTTTAAAAAATGTTTGCTGTATCTGGATTCAGTTTCAAAAGATAGCAAAGGAAAATCAGAAACACACCGAAATATGGTCAATATAACCAATAGATCGTTATAAGTGGGTTCGACTGAATGTCGCTACTTGCGAGCTCTGTTAATGTCGCAAACGTTCCGCTCTCCCTCAGGCTGGTCTGCTCAAACCTATCGACAGTCTACCGGAAATATTTTTTGCATTGACCTCGACTTGCTCGGACCTTTTCCTACTGTCACAAGAGGCCCCACAGTCTCTAGGGTAGAATGTCCCGAGGGCCAACTCCGGGCAGGGAGCATCCAGGCAGTGGCAAGGCAGAAGACAGCCAGAGGGAAACAAAACATTTATATTTACAACGTATGTACAAAACATGGATGAGGAAGAATAGTTCTAGGACGTAAATGGTCCGATGCCATGTAAACAGGTGGACTAGTGAACTTCAGTGTAGTTGGCGCAAGCTGTACTCCCATGTGCACAGAAAGAAGCAGAAACACAAAATTGTCGCGAAATGGAACAACTGACACAGTTAGACCACCACTGGTCATGGCATAGGTCTTTTCAATGCCATGTTTCCTTGTTACCTCTTTCACATCACCCCTGAAATTTATACTGGCCTCTCACTATTTTCAATGTCATAATTTTGGAAATTTGTGTATTATTCATTTCAGCTTTCATGCCAAATAATGTCTCTATGAAATCTCTAAATAGGAACAAGTAATACTTTCGGCTTGATAAATGTTGGGACCAAGTAAACAAAAAGGATAAAGCATATTGGTACCTTGACGCTTTGCATGGCCTCATCATACTCGTCATCTACACCAGACATGGGCGTCACTCGCCCCTCCTTCCGAGCTTGCTCATGGTCGAAAGCCTTCTCAAAAAACTCGAGCGCATCAGCCAAGTCTGGAAATTGGCCAGCCTCGGGGCCCACTGAAAGACATTTGGCCAGCGTATGCGATGTCAGTGACGACAGTGCGTCTGCCCAGAGGGGGGCCACTTGTGCAGCCTTTTGGAATCCTCCAAGGGCCTGCAACAACAAAGAGGCTGTGGCTGTAAATAGTAAAACTTCAGAAAACGCATCCCTGCCTATTCAGGAGCGGCGAAATTTTCACTTTGAAGCTAACGATTTTGTGCCGAGGAGCTCGTTCGAAAAGCTGGTTTCAAATTGCACAATACATGAAAGAAGTGAGTTTCATTTCAGACACATGAACACGGTAGACTCCCTTCCCTTTAAGGGGGCAGACTGGTCTTGCGGGACCAAAAAGTAGCGAAAAAATTCATTTTTTTTAAATCGACATATTTGGTTTCTGCAAGTATTTTTCTATCTCTCTACAAAATTTCACACACCAAGAAGTGGTTATTTTTCTGTAATGTCATTCCAACTGTCCAGATTCTTGGTGCCGTTAACATGCAGAACCTGCAAAAAAATGGGACTTCGAGGCTTCTTTATAATCTGCCGGCACCTGTGTTGGAAATTCTGCTAAAAATTTATGAGCACCTTTATTACAATTGCAAAACATGCGCACCATGATGGTTGCTTTTTGAAGCTGTGTGTTCTTAGTTTTTTACATTTTTCTCAAAAAAGTAAATTTACGACTGTTCAATTCTGGCGCCTCAATATCTCTGCAGCTAGGCAGGTACAACAATAATTCTTTTTACAATGGAAACCTGTATGTGTGTAGAATACAAGTATTGGAGCAGAATTTAGGGCACAAGCTTTTTAAATTAATTACACATCAAATCTGTAACACAATTTAACTGCTTTTGAAAATGCTTAGTTCATTTTGCTGTCAAATAACCAAGAATGCCCCCCCCCCCCCCCCAGAGAAAAAATTTTTTTGCATGCTTTCAATCTATCGTCATTAGTGTATGTTGGTATATTTTAAATATCACTTTTAATTAGGCACCTTTATTGCTATGGCGGCCTTAAATAATAGGCGGTAAATTCAAGTTACTGCAGGAAGAAGCTCAGTGACTGGAAAACTAAATAAATATTTGAAATCAGCAGAAAAAAAATGCATAATCCAGTGCAGTTTGATCAAGATCACTGAAGAAATGAACAAAAAATGTCTAAGACCAGTCTGCCCCCTTAAGACGAAATCAAAGAGGCCAAAATCATTTGTTCAAATTATCAGAAGTGCCCCCCCAAAACCAAATGCTATGCCCTTCTAGGTGTTCACATTCATCCTTCTAGGTGTTCACATTCTGAAAGGCTGTTTTACTGACTTTTCTACCACTTTTCTATATGCCTCCATCGCATACTGCTACTATGACAAAGCCAATACACGCCAAGTTGCTTATGAAGGTCTGCAAGCTCTTCTTTGGGGTTCAGATATTTCTTTTTCTCAGGCCCCAGTGTTTTTTTCCTGAAAGACATCCAGCTAAAAATCACCATTTATTATACACATAATCACAAGCCTCGGGCAAACAAGAAAAGACAGAAACAAGCCAAACTATGATTAGGCCTAATTGGAACATATCTGTTTTGAAATGTTTGCGCAGGCACACGGGCACACAAATGAGAACACAAACGGGCACAGTCTAACAACTGGTTTATATTTTTTTAAATCATTCACTTAATACACCTCAGTTTCATTTCAAATAATTTTTAGTGACCATATTGCACTGAACTGAGTGGTATTAAGCGAATATTAAAAAAATAATAAACCAGTTGTTAGATTATGCCCGTTTGTGTTCTCTTCTGGGTCCCAGTGTGCCAGTGCAAACGTTTCAAGATGAAAAAAACAACATGACCAAGCTATATTTAGTGTGCAAAATGACTCTTTGTTCTGCATTTTCGTAATGAAAATGGCACATGACAATTCATTGCATTTCCCGGCAAACAGATACGATTTGCACAGGCCCTACGCGGAACAATGCAAGCTGACCACATGTGCCCAGGCGGCATGATGTGAGGGCGATGACAATGCACCTGAATCCTCTGATGGGAATGCTAGTGGCGCATATGTGGTTTCCATTTCCCCTGATGGGAATGCTAGTGGCGCATATGTGGTTTTCATTTCATGTGATTAAAATGTACAGAAAATCTTCCACTTCCATTTGGCTTTTTTTTTTTTGCCCCCCTTCCGCGGCATGTTCCCTTCTAGGCAAGCTTTTGTGTTGTCCTGTTCTATGTTCTACTCCTGTTGGGAAAATGTTTGTTTTGTTTGTTTAATTAATACTGTCAACCCAAAGTGGGGGTTTTCAGAGGAGTGGAAAACACATAATTTTACAAGATGGCATACAATTTTATCCTGAAATTTGAGCAAAAAAAGATAATAAAATGGGCACGAATTACACTACAAAATATAGCTACAAACAAAGGCACTTACACTTACATTATGTGCAAAAATGAAGATAGTTATAGCGTGAAAACAAAACGACGACACAGAGACAAGAAGGACACGAAAGACACGAGCGCTAGTGTCTTTCGTGTCTTTCATGTCCTTGTCTCTGTGTCGTCGTTTTGTTTTCGCGCTATAACTATCGTCATGCCATACCAACTAGCCCAAGCTGCCACACTTCTAAGTTGCAAAAATGAAACACAGGCATGTATACTTACATTCTGCGCATTGAAAACAAAAATTTACAGAGGAAAATAGATTGCTATCGTGCAGACAAGAATAAAATTAATAGAATTAAGTATTATGACACATCTTTCAGAGAAAATGAGTGATTCTAAAGCTGCAGAAAAATCTGTGACGGAAAGCATCACGACTGGGCTTAGTAATTTATTTCACTCTTAATTTGCACTCGGAAAAAAGCTGTATTGAAAATGTGCCCTATCAGATGGCTAGCAGCTGTATATACAAACTGTGTCTTTGTCTAAGTGCGGATCAGGAGAAATCACAACGAAATCTAATGAGTTCATTTTAACCTGATTACAAATAATGAATAGAAACTTTAAATGGTCCTACTTAGTTCTAAGGCGGAAGGTTTACACAGTTGCAAAGTTTGGAGGCAGAGTGCATGCATTGATATTTATTAAATATGAACCTAGAAGCAAACCTTTGAACTTTGTCGAGTTTGTATCGGTTGGCAGTAGTGTGGAGGCTCATACTATCTTACAATATTCGATTATTGGTCGTATTGACATTCTGTATGCCAGATTTTTCACTTTGGTTGTTGTGTCATGCAACCTTTGCCTCAGGTCCCACAGAGTTTTATTTGCCTTTTTACAGATGATGCAGTGTTCCACCTCAAGTCTGGTGTAAATATTTACTTATATTCTGTTACCATACTTAGGTCATAGGGACCAATATTGTAATTAAATTACAAAGGTATCTTTTTTCTTGTTACATTCATGCAAACCGATTTTACAGGGTTTAAGAACATCTGCCATTCATTACACTAAAGCAAAAATTTTTTGTTTGTTATTCAGGTCTCACTGGTCTCTCAGGGACGTGGTCTTGTTATATATAATGCAGTCATCTGCAAACAATCTAAGTAGAAGAGACAAATCTGAGGGCAGGTCATTTATAAAAAATTCCCAGCATATTTACATAGTGAATGATGATGAATAGGACAGAGTGTCCGTCCGTGCATGCATCCGTTCGTCGGTCCATCTGTGCATGCGTCTGTCCATCTGTCTGTCTGTCTGGTCACAGCCCTCAACGCCTGCCGCTTCTCTTCATCCATGCCCCATTAGCGATCTGATAATTCGGGCGGCGATCCAAGGGAGTCCATGCCCTACTAATGATCTGACATGCACGATAACGATCCAGGAAACTGAGAGAGGCACTCGTTCTTTGTGCAACCAGGCACAGCCCGCACAGCAGCCAATCGGAAAGTAGCAGCACGGCGCCATCTAGAATATACTCGCGTAACTGCAGTTTGTATCTACTTCTAGAGCAACTGTATATGCTGGATAGAATGCATCAAGTGTCCGCTGTGCGCTTTGCAGTTCATTAACTACAAACTGGTGCTAATATTCGCTTTAGATTGATGCCCTTAAGCTTCGACAGCAAAGCATTCGCGTCGATTCGGCACCATTTTCGAAAAACATACTGAAATAATCAATGCTGCAGGCATATTGGGGTCTTCCTTGAATTTCCAGAAGACCTACATTTTGAATTTATAAGTTGTTGCTCATCATCCATAGCTGGCACCACTTGAATGTGCAGCGGCGGTGCATTTATTCGGCACTACGCTACGCCATTGTGCTTTGCGTTACTGGGCCGAATAAACAACGCTGTTGAATTCCTGTGGCACTGTCCCAAAGCAGGTGTTTCGTCTTTCGGTGTTTCGTCGACCGGCGACAGGCTTGAGCAAATCCCCTACAAAAACAGAGCGCGGCTTCGTCTCGTAACTATGGTGGCTTGATTGATTAATATGTGGGGTTTAACATGCCAAAACCACCATATGATTGTAAGAGATGCAGTAGTGGAGGGCTCCAGAAATTTCGACCGCCAGGTTTTTGATGTGCACCCAAATCTGAGCACACAGACTACAGCATTTTCGCTTCTATTAAAAATGCATCCGCCACAGCCGAGATTCGATCCTGCGACCTGCGGTAACTATGCTTGCTAACCAAGGAGATGACAGATTTATGCGCTACTCTGCTCCCATAATGAACATATACAGTTACTTTATGTACTTTTATGAGGCAGCGCCATCTATTCTACTGTTCGAGAGGTACTATTGGTTATGCCTGACACACAACAAGGTTTGACTAAGAGAAGCTTCGCTTCTAAATAAGAAACAGAAGGGGCCCCAAAAGACTGCCTTGGGGCCTGCCGGATAGAACGGGTCTCGACGTCGATCAAGTTTATTTATTTCTACATACTATGTACAAGAAAAGAGGTATGAAGTGAACCATTGAGTAATATTTCAATTTCTCAATAATACATTTGCTTATAGTAAGAATTTGAGATGCGAGACCTTATAAAGGCATTGGAAAAATCTAAGAAGATTAGATCAACCTATTTTCGGCGGTTGCTCAAGATCGTGAACTATGACAAGCTGCGTGTTACAATGTCGGCTCAAATGCAGCGCCCCCACGCGGCGCTGATAGTTGTGTTGAGCTGT